ATTTTTTTTCTGTATTTTTTATTGAAATACCCCTTGCATCGCCGCGAAACTACGCCAAAACGTTGCATTCTGGCAGCTGCACACGCAGCCAGAAATATAATTTCAAACATGAAAGTAAAAATTTTTATTTTGACTTTTACTTCTATTGCGTACAATCATCGCCACGTTTGCATCTCCACCAAAGTCATAAGATTTTATCCGGAATGTTTAGCCGAGATATCAGAGAGATGTTTTGAGTAAGATAAATTAACATATTATATTGATATTTTCACCATAAAATGAAGGCATTATTATGGTTAATACTGTTCAGTTGAATTATGCTTAGCATACTTTGTTTTTAAGGTTAAAGTGATAGAGTTTTTCAAAGTTATACAAACAAATTTATTCGATCGCATTTTACTTTTCGCAGGCCTGCCCAACCTTTTTCGTCTCGCGGGCCACTTTCACGTGACAAAATTCGCTGCGGGCCGCAAACGTTTGTACCAAACAATAATATCAGCTAAGTCCTGATTTCGCTGTAGGTAATTTACATAATACATAAAAGAAAAGTTTATTAACATTCAGTCAATTTAATAATTGCTTTCTGGTTACTGAGTAGGGCAGGCAGATTATTCGACCATCAAGTCAAATAATAGAAGAGCAGGTTACTATTCGAATATCTGGTAACACGGGGCGTGGACTTGACACTTGCGGTTTTTTGACGACCACACGAGAACACACACATCACATCGAAATTTAGTGTTATATTCGCGTTATAGTGTTTTATTCATTCTTTTTCAGCAGCTATGATACTGCCTCAATGTTCAAATGAGCATAATGTGCTCCAATGTCGCAAGAATATCAAGTTTGAGTGGGTAGTTTCGTGCAATTTGAAACACCAATACAAGTATTTAATGAAGTAACATTACAAAGATTTCTGGACTAATAGCCTATATATACTGATTTGTAACCATAAGCAACAATTCCATTAACTCAATTTCATCAGAAATATTGTCGGATATGCAGTGACGACATTTCCGAAATCTTATTTAACCTAAATATTGAATAAATAATAAACATAAAAGGACAACGAGTCCCAGGACCAGTAAGTACCAAAGATATCGTTGAATTTTTTATTTAACGTTAGCGATAAAGACGATCAAAGCAGAAACGTAAGAAACAATCAGAATGAAATTAATTTGCAAATTTAGGATCCAAATTCATTCCTATAAATGCGCTCAGCGTTCGCCCTCAATGATCGCACAATATCTTTCGAGTTCCTCGAACAGAACGCTCAGTTCGACGAAAAATAAAAAACTGTCGTCGATGTCCACCAGGGTGCAAGACTTGACACATAAGTCTGCTTACAATCTTTATAGGGCGGGCCGCAAAAAAACAGTCCGCGGGCCGCGAGCTGGGCAGCCTTGGCTTACAGCTTGAGAAGTATGCATGAGCCTCTATCGATATTTGTGGCGTTTTGAAAGATTTATTGCAAATAAGAAGCGCTTGGCAAGTTTTTACATCCATTTTTCTTCAACTTATTTAATACAAAAAAATCAAATAGTACAGTCATTTTGAACAAAAGAGGTAAAAAAAAACTTGATTTAAAACAATTGTTTTAAAACATTTCTTTTTGAAAAAATCCCTAGTTTGGACTAACACGCTTTTCGCCAGATAACTGGCGTGATTACAGATCGCAAGGGTGTATATATATTTTCATCGAATCGAATAATTTTAACGAATTGTTGAATTCGGGATTTTATTTCGATTTTTATCTTTTGGGTCGACTTTGATCTTTCTTGACACCATTTGTAAATTAACTGCCCCAATTTTACGCTAAAAATATTATCATTTGACGCCGGAATGCGGATATTTAATGAAGACGATAGTTATCCTTCTTGATTTTACTTTTCTATTGTGGCTGTTATTTTTTCGTATTGAATAGTGAATAAAAACCCTTCAAAGTCATTGTGTGAAGCCTAAATGTTATTTTGTGTTCAACTGATGATTAGATATGTCGGCAATAATGGCAATTATACTAGTCAAATAATAATCCTCTGTACACGTGGCTACCAATTTCGAGTCACCTTCAAAATTCCCCAGACTAGTTTTCGGAATTTGTATGAAAGTTCTCCTATATAATCTCTGATAAACGGTGTTAGTTAAATATTTCATACGGTACTCACCGTCAATATAAAGCATAGTAGTTTCAAAACTTTTTTTTTCAATCAGATATTAGAACATATCGTCGTTGTGTCGTACCTCTTTGTCTTGTGTGTTTTACTAGAGTTTTTGTTGTTGTTGTATAGCCTATTTCATGTCTGTTGTCCTATTATAACGCAGCGGTACTAAACTGCTGTATGGGTGCATGTCGCACATCTGTGACTTAGGCCAGTAAGGTCTTGAACATGTATCCCGCCTCTGTTTTACTGTTTAATTATTCTTATGCAGATATTGTTCCTTACATTTTTGAGGCAAATAAACATACATACATACAACCTCGGGTGTCACTGCTCGATAACCAATTTGGTTCCCCGCGACTTCCCTTCCCCAGGAAAACTGTGTAAATTATCTTTTTGTCGTAATTTATGATTGTGATATTTTTTCGCTGGTGGGTAAATAAATAAACAAACTTGACTTGTGAAATTTGAGAAAAATCTCGCACAATACTTCCACTTAGTCTGACCAACGACATACCAGACGGACTCAAACGGTGAGCGTGGGTGGCTTTTTTCAAAAAAAGTAATAAATAAAATGAGAATATCGGTCGGAGACCGAAGACTTATCGATCGAAACTGCGGTTTCGATTCATGACTCTATAGTGACACCGCGTGTCCCATCACTAATTAATTGATTACTCGCTAATTAAACGACATAATTCATCCAAAATCGATAGGTTTCTGGTCCGAGATAAGATGAATGCAAAATTTGGAGCAGATTCAACCTCGCCTTCGTGAGATATCGCGTTTATCTAACAGACAAACAAACAAACAGACAGACAGACAAATACCTATCAACATACTTACCGATCTTAAGATCGATAAGTAATGATAACCTACAATTTGTGAGAATATCTATATGTGGATATCAAAATTTTTAGGAAATAATTGCGGGATGGGATTGAAAAAAATCCAAATCAGGGGATTTCGGGATCGGGATTTCTCGGGGTCCCAACCCTAATCACATGTTGGCCTACTCGACATGACGATAATGCTCATATAACACAAGAAATACTTGGGAATCAAAATGTAATCGGCATCTCCCATCGTAAAACGATGTGGGAGATTTGAAAACCTGATGAGCGAGCCCATTCACATGGCATACATTAGTATCAATAACACTCAAATCGAACTTATTAAAATAATTTTATTACATTGTCCGCATGAATATGAATTGGTAGACCGAAATTCGAGTCGAGCTTGCTGAAACAAAATGTTATTAGACTCGCACTTAATAATTTAAGAAAAGAAGGTATTAATGTCAAATACATTTGGATACAGGTCATGTGGATATATTGCGAAATGAATCAGCGGATCAGCTTGCAAGATCGTGCATTGGAAACGCCGTTATCGACAATATCCCACCTACACTACAAGAAGCAAAAACTGTAATTAGAAGTATAAGTCTGAATAGATGGAAATTTGAATATCAATCGTCAACTAACGCAGCACACTTCAAAATGTTCATTCCGACATCATTCATCATTGTGGATTTCTTCAATTGAAAGAAATCTACATAAGTGAAGTAGGAATATTTATGTATCGTTATGAAAATTTGCTGCTGCCAGAGTATTTACAAAACTTTTTTGTCAAAATTTCAAATATCCATCAGTATGAGACGAGAAGTACATCAAACAAATTGTATTTCACCCCGCGATATCAATCTTCAGTCATGAAGAAATCGCTCAAGCTGGAAGACATTAATGTATGGCAAAGTATTCCACAGAGTATGAAACAGTGTTCCCAAAAATTATTTGATCGCAAACTAAAACAACATTTGTTAGCGGATTATAATGGGATGCAATAACGTGCAAATCTCAGCGTATGCTATCATCAGATTCATAAAATAGATAGGAAAATGGATTTTCGTATGTCTCTGTAAAAATTATCAAAGATGCTATTATATATAGTCTGAAGTCTGAAGTGTTTATATGTAGTACAGAATATAGCTTTGGAAATATGGTATTTTTAATTTTTCACCCATTCATAAAAATTGCCTCATTGTCACAATTTAATTCTTGTCTAACATAAAGTAAAATTAAATTTGAGGAAATTATAATTAGCTCTACGCCCTTCTTATTCTTTCTCCTTTTTTATTACTATAAAAACAATATGATCTGCGTAATTATGTGATGTTCCCTTTTCTTGTTCCTTGTAATTTTTATTCTTATTCCGGTACTTTTGGGGAATTGATTTCTGAGGCTTCTTAAACGGGCTTAAAAAATTATTTTCCCCCTATTGCAATTATGATGCCTGCTTTAGAGTGTCTTGTCATCCATGGTAGGATCTCTCCCTAGGGGTCGGTCGACCTTGTTGACCTTGGAAGTCTTGCCCGTCCCCTTCCGTCTATATTTTAGGCTTATTGTTGTTTGCTTATGCTTACTGCATTATGTACTTGTATCGGAAATATATCATATCTATCTATCGACAGGAGATTCATATCCGAACTTTTCCCCTACGCGATATCATCAATCAATTTTATCCAGACTGGACATTGCAGGCTCTCTCACCATCACCATCCAAAATAGGCTGTCATCAAGATGGTGAATGCGATAATTGCCCGTACAAGGAACTGTAGCTCATTTTTTACTATTTTGTTCAAAGTATTTTAAAAAGAGAAATACTATGCTAAATCATAAATATTCCATTTCGAAGTAACTACCTACTATCTAATTCAAAAGTTATTACCTTTGTAATTAGGTTTGTTCATTCCCCGCAGTTACAATTTTTATATTTCCGCGTGGCTTATATTTTACATTAATTCCGTATCATGGGCTATTTTAAATTGCAATTTATTATGAAGTAGCGTGTTGCATTATTGTGTCATTTTCAGTCTGGCGCACATAATCCTGGTAATTGAAAGCGCCATATTTTATAACAATAATAATAAAACATGCTGCGGCGTTCTTGTCGCGGTACTGGACGGGGGAGCGTAAACGAAGTTGGCGTGGTTGATGCTTGATCGACTTCCTGTTAACATCACATTTGCCAGTTTGCCTCTTGCCCTTGTTTAAGTGAATTATTTTCTGACCGTCCTCTATATTTGCAAAGAATATCATGCTGGACTTGAAAACAAAAACAGTTGGATTTGTTGGGGGAGGAAATATGGCGTATGCGGTTGCTATGGGGATAGTGAAGGCAGGTTGGTATTATATTTTCCAAATATTACTGAACGTGGTTTAATTCCGTAGTTATAATAAGCAAGAAAAACCCATACAGTAGCCTATGCCGCATTCCATTTATCCTATTGTTTAATCACTAAATGCAAGCATATTACCGTAACTGATGTATTTCAGTACACCCAATATACATAGCCTACTTATACTATTATAAGTACAGAAGTATGAGCTGGTGACCTTGTGTATATTTTTTAATTGCTATCAAAAATTTAGACTTTTTTTATTTATTTATGTGAAAAACAGCAACATCTTTTTTTAGGATTAGTTGATCCCGGCGATGTATCGGTCAGCAATAGATCAAAAGAAAAGCTACATATGTTTAGCAAAGAAGGCATTCAAGTCACACAAGATAACATCGAAGTATTTTCAAAATGTGACATAATAGTCCTTGCTGTGAAACCACAGGTAACTTTGCATATCTGTGCTAATCTGAAATTTAGTATAGATTTTACAACTTTAAAATGTATTACATTACATTCAGATCTTTTCAGTTGTCATCAGTGAACTGAAAGAACGTGGGAATCACATCAACTTATCTCAGAAAATATTTGTGTCTGTGATGGGGTCGAACAAAATTGAAGAAATGGAAGAAGTACATCTTTTCATTGTCTAGTTTTTAGTGAAGAATCCTATTTTATTGTCTCTTTTTTAGTTTGTATCATTTTCATTTCCTGAATGTTCACAGCGAAGAGGTCAAGTCATTATTTCGATCTGTGTGGCTTCATAGGTTGTGAAAACAGCCATCCGTTTTTCACAACATTTGTGCTGATAGCAGTTTGTTCAGAGTTGAATCAATAATCTCAGAGCAAACTGGAATTTCATATTTTTTTTACAAATTTCAAATGTAATCAATCAATCAGTCAAACAAAGTACAGATGGTTACTATCAAATAGGTCAATGCCTTCTTAAGCTGAGTATCTTTACAAACCTTTCAACATGTAAAAGTTATACTTTTCATTATATTTTATTGAATTGTTAACTTTTAGACACTGGGAAAAGGAACTAAAATTGTTCGTTCAATGCCAAATACTCCATGTCTGGTTGGTGCTGGAACGATAATGATTTCTAGAGGAAACAATCTTACTGATGATGAATATGAATGTGTGAAAGTCTTGTTATCATCATGCGCGGAGTGTTTTGAATGCCCAGAAACACTACTCGGACCTGCTTCAAGTGTTATGGGATGTGCCACAGCCTATGTAAGTATCTTGACAGAAACACGGATGAGTGTTCATTTTTAGGAACTGTACTGAATTGAATGCATCCCATGCAGGGATAGTTATGTGCGAGAGGATTGCTGGACTCCTCACTATCGCAGGTCGGTTACGGCATCTTCCACTATAAATAAATAACTGGATAACTAATCCCATATCCGGCATGGGCTGATAATCAGTCAAGATGCTGTGGTTCACGGTTCTCCAAAGGATTAAACCACCGTATAGGCTTTCATCTCCCTGGGATAAATATGTAAATCCTATTTTATCTCTTGATTGGAAACCAGTAATTAGTGCCAAAGAACTTGCTTATGAATGTCAGAATTCAAAAATGACGCCCCACTGTAACTGTTTTTTGTTGTTTCAGTTTTTTATTGCCATAGAATCATTAGCAGATGGAGGTGTTATGCATGGTTTACCAAGAGACCTTGCTTTGAAACTTGCATCAAGAGCTGTTATGGTAAGTCTGCAGTCATCAACTGATTGTCACTTCACTGGGTTATGAAATCTTTGACTCAATGCGACTCCACTTAGTTGTAGTTTTTCAATCGATCTGTATACATTTACTAAATGAATGATTCATGCCCAAAGTTTGCTCACTGACATAAATGTAGCAGTGATATTAAAATAAGATATTTTTACAGGGAGCTGGTAAACTCGCCCTAGAGTCCGATAAACATCCAGAACAACTCAAAGACGCTGTTGCATCACCTGGTGGAACTACTATACGGGGATTATATGCTATAGAAAAAGCTGGGTTCAGGTCTGCTCTGATAGATGCAGTAAATGCTACAACAGCGAAGCTATAATTCATAAACATGTATTGCATGTAAATGGTAACTGTGCAGCAGGGCTGGGCATTTTCGAATATCTGGTGATTGCAGGCGAGAATCTTGAATAGATGTCTAATTGTATATGAGACTTTGTTTAAATGGGTCCTTCAGGCACAAACTACTATTCGATTCGAAATGCCCAGCTCTACTAGACTGAACAAAAAATTATGTTGGATTATAGTCTTTATTATAGTGCAATAAAAAGCGAGAGAAAAGTGGTGGAACATAGCTGCAGGATTAGTGCCTCTCATGGGTACTTATACTTCATCTGCATAGTGAAGCATTAGAATGGAGGTGAATTAGATCCATTTCACAGTGCCATTAATAAACATTACACAAATTTGCACTTTGTTTGCTGCTACTCTTTATCGCGTTGTTCCGGAAAAATTGACAAAACTTTTTCCTTCAAGTCTGGCAGCATGAAATTTTCTTCCAAATATAGTCCACTAAGAAAACCTACTCCAGCTGCCATAAACAATCCTACTGGAAACCTGGCACAGACATATCCAAATATGAATCCTTGGACGAGCGGACTCGCCGATATCTTACCAGAGTTTGCCTGTGAAAAAAGTGTTATTTGGTAGTGGAAGTTTATTCTACTGAACATCAGGCAGTTTGTGCTTATTGTGTGGAATATTTGGATATGTGGGAACTATCCCAGCGTGAAAACTTGACCGCATCTATTTTGCTACGTTTAAGCCACACAATTTCAAAAGCATGTTGGAGGGCAAAAAAGCACCAAATTAGTGTTTAGGCATAATGTTCGGTTGTGAGATTTCACAACATTCATATTTTAAAAAAATTTAGTCGCTTCCGAAAAAGGTTGGGTAAAAATGGTTGGATCCTATTTTGCCACACCTTAATAGCTGTGTTTTCGGTCATCATATGCTAGGAGAAGCTCTGTTGACGTTGCAAAAAGTAGGAAGATTGAATTGTTTGAGTAGTTTGACTTACCTTGATCAAATTCTCTGTGGCTTCAGTGGCATATTCTTTCACTATTCTATCTTTCAAATCTGGCTGTAATATGAGAAAATAAAGATGAAAATATTGTTTTAGTAGAATGCATCATCAGTTTTCATCACATTCTGTGGTTGATGATGACATAAACCTTTGAAATCTTGAAACATCCAAACGAATACAGTGCTGATTTATACATGATATCCAATTTAGTAATGGACCACTTACGTAATTTTTGTTATATCACACTAATAGAGTGACCTGCTGAAAGGACTAGCACAGATGACAGAAAAGTCATAGAGTATACATAGTACTTGAATAGATTTTTGGATGGCCTAATCATTGCCATAAAGTTCATGTGCTGATGGCCTGATGCTCTCTATATCTAGTTTTAGGCGAAAAATTATTTGCTAAAATGCTGATCAATGAACAGTGGCTAGCTAGTGGTATCAAACCCTTTTTACAGTAGATATCTCTAAACAAAACAATCTTTTTCACATGAAACTAATAAAAGAGCTGCAAATTACACTGTCATACTAAACGATATATAACTGAAGCAAGGAGGTCTTAAAAACTGTGTCACGTATGAAATTTAATAACTACATTTTTATGTTTGTATGTAGTTGAACTGGGAGGGTACTTAACTCGTAATAAATTTTATTGAAACACTGTATATGATACAGAACACATATAAACGATTGTACATCAAGTATTGTTAAATTAGAATGTAGATATCTCCTTTGAAGTTAACAAAACCCTAACGATATGAATTATACAGTTATTGCTGTATTGGCACCATAAAGCAAAATACCTCAACATGTCCCATGCTATGGAGTATTCATATAAACTATCTATGCACAGTTTTTCTGGATGTAAGGTCTATCCGGGGCCACATATTTTTGTTTTGTTTGAAGGCCATAGTGATTTTTATGGGTTTGAGATTATAATCTTTTGGCTCCAACACAACTTACAGACATGCCTAACATCTGAACATTGTGACTTACCATTACTCTTGTTTTTCACAACAAGCACCCTACGGAGTTAGAAAATTTATATGAATTGGTCAGCTTTCTTTTCAAACCCGTATTTTGTATTGCAGAAACGACTTCAATCGTGGATGATTGATAAAAAAATTGTGATATACATGCAGCAATTTTTGTGTTACTGTCTGGAGCTGGTTTCCAAAAAAGCTGCAGGGGGTACGCCTACCCGTTTTGGGCCGGTATATCTGTATATTGTTAGTCTATAACAGCTATCAATACAGCAATAGGCACAGCCAAACAAGGCTATTTATCAAACTAAACGGAAATACCTTATCATCCATGTCAAACTGCAAACCGATAATCGCGTCGATAGAAAACACGACAGACGAGACGTCGTTAGATTCAACCAAGATGTACACAATACAGGCACAGTATATTTTACTGCTTTGTACTAAACAGCTGACTGCGAAGGCCGTGGATTGTTTTGGTGAGATGCGATCGAGCATGACTTTATGTCACGCAGACAGGGATAGCATTAGGGCAAACTGCGACCCAGCTTGTCTTTTCGGGGACCAGATGGGTCACGAATTAATGCAAACATTTCAGTGACCAAAATTGACGCTATTTTTTATGAATCAATGAACTCATTTTATCTTTCTATGTCCTTTACTTTTTGTCACGTAGAGTGTGACTATCTCTATGGACCTTTGACCCCCGAAAAATTCTTCCCATACTTCAGCATTACAAAATTTTCAGGGCTTATTTTAAGAGTGGTTTCGCAAGTTGAGGTATTTGTTTCAAATCATCATTATGACTCATTGCATACAACAATGTGTTTTTAAAAGATTTTTATTACTGTAATTAAAATAAAACTCATAAGGGCCCATTCACACCAACGCAGTGCGTTGCGTTATATTTTGACGCAGATGCAACGCAATGCGCTGAACTTGTTCACACTGCGTTGCGTTGACGCATGTCAAAAGGTCATATTCCGGGTGCCCGTATTTTGGATCAGGAACTTGATAGGCATTGTGTTTAAGAGCAGAGTAGGTAAGACAGCTGTTGTTTGGATATAAATTTGAGACGTTTTGGCGATTGTATAATGCCGTTGTATATCAATGATAGTTATTATTTTCAAAACAATGAAAAATGTACAATGATTTTTATACAGATTGATTAGATATCGGTATGGCAGGTATGGACTTAGAACATCTCATAGTTGAGGTCAGAGAAAGGAAGTGTCTTTACGCTGTAAAAGAAGCAGCCTACAGGGATACAATTAAAAAGGGAAAGGCGTGGGAAGAGGTCGCAGAGGCGTTGGGAAGAAGTGGTAAGAAAATGAGTATGAGCCTAGAATAGTTATCTGTTACTATATTGCATCTAAAACCAATTAGGAAGAAATTAAGTAAATGCAAGATAACAGAATAAACTTCAAAGTTAATTGCTTTTCAGTGACAGATTGTAAGACCAGATGGAGATCTACAAAGGATAGGTATAGGAAAGAGAAAAGAAGGGAATCAGAGGCTACGAGGAGTGGGGCAGCAGCAGGGGGATATAGAGCATGGAAGTGCTAAAGTTCCTAGACGAGCACGTCGACTTTCGAACGTAAGTATTATTTGCTTTCGTAACAAACGCAATAATATTTCTAATCCCTACCCCACAGTATCAACGGTCGCAAATGACTGACTGACTACTCCAGATCTCGGAACCCCAAACTATGACCATGTAACTTACTCTTTTCCAAAGAACGTCTTCAAATATTGACGAGGATGTCACTCTTGTGGTGCTCCAAGATGGAAATAATGTCCAAATGAGTGGTGAAGCTGACAACTTACCTAATATGAACACCAGTTGCACTACATCAGCATCTGATAAAGATGCACTTACAAAAGCGACTGATCTTGACGAAACTATCATGAGTCTTGTCAACAAAGGTATTTAATTCTAAAACCTTTCCATGAGGCATATTTGTGTCACACAAATGATTTCCAATCTAATAATCATACCTTTATTTACATACAGAGAGTGATGATGCTGAAAAATTTGCATTGAGCCTCGTAGATACTCTACGCAGGCTACCAGTACAACGTTTGCAACTTGCGAAAATTAAAATTCACGAGCTTCTGTACAACATCGAATTTGGGGAAATATAATTTACTTGGAACACATTGTTTTCAATTATTGATTATATGGTAATCCTGAAGTATGTGAACGAAGATGGCAGACACCGAACTTAGTATGTCTACCAGGTTAGGTTTAGGCAAAATTTTCAGGTACAAATACTAAGGGAGTCGCTTGTCTAGTCCCCGAACTAAAATAAGGAAAATCGGAATAAATTATGGCCTAAACCTAACCTGGTAAACATACCAGGTTCAGGTGTCCATCTTGGTTCACATCCTTAGGGAGTACCAAATATACTAGCATATCAGATTTGTAATACCTCTGCAGTTCAGTAATCATCTATAAAATTGTTAAAAGATCAGCAATGGTGCCATTGCCAGGGCACAGCACCTTCCCCTGCAAAGTAGTTGGCAAAGGTGTTGCGAACAGATTGTGCGCTCTGTGTTGCACGGCCACCACTCCCGGGTATGTCATGCAGCAGTTGAGTGGACACTGTAATATTATCGTCAACTGGTGCAGCCCCAGCAACATCTCTTCTCAAAAAATTGTGTAGGCAGCATGTTGCCTTTATGACAGAGTCGATATTGCTGGGCTTCAATGGTATTGGTCTGTGATAGACTCTCCACTGATTAGCTAAGATGCCAAATGTGCTCTCTACCATTCTTCTTGCCCGCGATAGGCGATAATTAAAGATTCTTTTCTCCTGCGAGAGACCATTGCCAGGAAATGGTCTCATCAGATTTTCTTTCAAGGGAAAGGCTTCATCCCCAATGAATACGAACGGAACAGTAGGTCCATCCGTTACTGGCAATGGCCTGAAAATAAATTTGCCCTATTTAGCCAGAAATACAAAATGAGGTTTAGGTAGGAGGTTTTTCTGCATAAACATGCTTCATTTTTATGGGTTATTACTAAGTTGTTAAAATAATAAGCCTTTATTACTTAGGTGTAAAGAAAAATCATAGCCTGTTTCGTTATAGAAAAAAACATCAGCAGTCATTTTCAAGTCTAGGTGGACTACTAGCTTAAATAACCCACCTTGGTGAGGGTAGACTCAAGGTTCCATTCTGCAGGCGACGGCCAAAACATGAGTTCGCAAATATTCCCCCATCGCTTGCTCTGCCATAGGCGCCAATGTCCACCGCAAGAAATTTATAACTGAAAAATATGAATTTCATTGAATTCTTGATGGCACTGTTTGGAATAAATGCCCATGTATAATCCACATAATATTGGGAAATAATTGGTTTCTAATTTATTTAGCCATTCATAGAAAGCAACCACAAGTGGTAAGTTACAAAAATTGTTTACCTATGAATACAAATTAGTGTGATACAAAATCAGGTTTAATATTTACCATGCATCAACGATAGCCAGGAGCACAATGCTATGCGTTTTTTTGTAATTGTAATACAACGATCCAGCATTGCTAGGACATTTAACAACAACATGCTTTCCATCAATAGCGCCCAAACAGTTTGGAAATTGCCATTTTTTGTGAAAAACATCGGCAACCTCAGTCCATTCGGAACAACTTGATGGGCATTTGAGGAAATCCCCTCTCAATGCATCCCATATTGCAGAACATGTTTCTGAGACAATGTTGCTCACAGTTGATATGCCAAGACGATAGCTGTTAGCTATAGTTCTATAGCTATCGCCAGTAGCTAAGAATCTGAAAAAATGAAAGATAAAGTAAAGCAATTGACACATTATGTAATAATAAATAACAAAATATGCTCATGTGTGAATGAATTTATAAATAATAGTCTATCATAAAATGGAAACATATTTTTATATGCGGCCAATGGCAAACACGAGTGCACATTATTATCAGATACAAGCTGATTACTGTGATGTTTATCCCTGGATATACAAATGTTTGTATTTGCTATCTGAATAAGTGTTTCTTAACCTGTTATATCATAGACATAAACTTCTGAATAGCTCATCCATATTTTTGGTTTCACAAAGTGATATAATGAACCGCTTTTGCTAACTTATCAGCTAATGTACCTCAATGTTACTGCAATTCTCTCTTCTGGTGGTATCGGCTTCCTGAATGCTGTAGCTTGTTTACTTATAACAGGCCCAACTAAAGTTATTAAAATTTGAAAGTCTTCGACTGACATGCGGAGGTAGGTCTCAAAATAGCTTCTCCTCTCCAATCTCATCTCTTTCAAAAGCCTGTGGTACTCGCCTGTTAACGTTACAATATTCAGATATTACCCGTTAAGGTACCGGTAATCATTCAATATGATATATATTTTCAAACCTCTCAAATACTACTTTTTGCACTAAAATGAGCTGTAGACTATCAGTAGAGGGTACCGTAATACTACAGTACTATGATAAGCACTGTCCAGACTGTCAGAACACCTTTCAGCTTTTTAACTACTGAACTAGATCAAATACCTGAATACTGGAATATGGCACCGGTCTAAAGGGCTAGTATGGTATGTTAACTGTTAAATCTAGAACCATGTAAGTAGCAAATTCTGTTTATTACAAACGGCTAGAAATACGGTGCAGTCGTATACGTACCGTACCCAGGTACGGTACCGTACTGGGGTACGGTAGGCCTACCTACTGCTGTACTGTGAAAATACTGCAATACTGGTACCGTACCTCTAGTCTCTCTTCTCTGCAAAATAGGATGCACCCACCACCTTCTTCTTTTGCATCTATTTTTTTTATCCTTGCGTCTTTTCAGCCACAACAGTAATCCCAATTTTTGATGTTTGCTCAAAGCCATCGCCAAACCACAGAACAAAGCACCGGAACTCAACTCAAATCTCAGACAACGCAGCGCGTCAACGCAAAGGAATGTTTCCTCGAGAATTCGTTGCGTTGACGCAGTGCGCCAAAATGATGCGTTAACGCAACAACGCAAGTTTACTTAAACAATTAAAGAATAACGCACTGGTGTGAACAGATGTGAATGGGCCCTAAGAAGGCAGAGTGATCATTGAATTATCTGATTTATATTTAAACTTTCGAAAAATAACAAATAGAGTTCGAAAACGAGGTGATGTTTACGACCACGCCTGAAAATCCGTCTGAGTGAGAAAAGTGTCTGAGCATCTGAACTGAAAATCTGTGGTCTGAGCGGATGCGAAAAAGAAGCATTGTACGTCATTTTTTGCATCTTGCTGATTGGCCAATGTCACGAAGTAAACAAGGAAGCCGATGCTCGGGGAAAGGTTCACAGGCCGCCAGACGAGGCCGTTTATCTTTCAGTTTTGTAGCGCGCATAACATAAGGCAACTACCTGGAAATGATTTTGAAATGTTCCTTAAAAATTTAGTAACGAATAATGACTTCTTCCCATTCCAAAAATTTGCACGTTTTACGGAAAAGATGCTTGAAGAAATATGTAGCTATTAAACACTTATATATCCTTACCACAGATAGCAATTTTAGTTGAGCACTAGCTCATAAAACGTTGTTAAATAGTACGGTATGGTAACTCCCAAGGAGTTTTACGGAAAAGATGCTTGAAGAAATATGTGTTACCATATGTCCTATTTTCTTATATCCTATATAAGCTATTAAACACTTATATATCCTTACCACAAATAGTAATTTTAGTTGAGAACTAGCTCATAAAACGCTGTTAAATAGGTACGGTATGGTAACTCCCAAAGCAGGCTAGACTTAATTAATATGAAAATAATATATGTCACAAACAACGATATTTTCTTGCTTGTATAATGAAAGGTTTATGAGTATTTAAAAACGATTCTTGACTATTCAGCAGACTTATACTACTATATTAGGGTTGCCATACCGTCCGGAAAATTCCGGACATGTACGGAATTTAGGGTTAAATTTTGCGTCCGGGAAGAATTTAAAAAATGCTCTAATGTCCGGAATCCGGAATTTTACTGCATCTGTAATCGTACCGTGCACACTGCTAATACATAACATTGTTATTTCGTACCGTGCGTCCGTGCGCATATTTTTTACTACGAGGTGATGAAAATAGTCATGCACTGTCCGGAACCGTCCGGTGCACAACCTGCGGCCGTCGTGACAAAATAATGCGGCCGTCCACATACAAAATCCTATAAAAAAAAGTTCAAAATATAGGATTTGGCGGCTATGCTGGCTTATATTAAAGCAAAACAGAAGCACTGCAAAAATAATGATAAGCAGCTTGTGCTGAAGTTTAAAGACGAGGAAAATCTGATGGACACATGGAAAGTCGTAGTTGAATATCCAGTGCTAAAAGAATGGGCAAGAAAAACTCTCGTTCTTTTTGGAAGCACTTACACGTGCGAAGCAACGTTTTCAAGAATGAAGTACCTGAAGAATGAGTACCGAACCAGATTGTTAGACGTCAATCTGGAGTCTGAACTAAGGCTAATGGTATCCAGTTAGTTACTTGACTTTGCAAGTTTATCTGACTACATGCAAGATCAAGGAAGTCATTAATTTGCTACAATGCTTTGTAAACTTTTATAAAATAAATTCAATATTTTCTGGAGTCTGAACTAACGCTGATGGTATCTAGCTAGTTACCTGACTTTGCAAGTTTATCTGGCTACATGCAAGACCAAGGAAGTCATTAATTTGCTAAAATGCTTTGTAAACTTTCATAGAATAAATTCATTAAAATATTTGACATTTTATTAAACTTTTGGGGACAAGAAAATGGGGGTTGTTATATTGTTACGTAACAATATAGATAGACACTAACTGAAACTTTGTGAGCTGTATTTGTTTATCTGCTGAACCGTAAGTGGCTGAATCGAATTTAGTGAACATGGGAGAGAAATTTATTATTTGTCAACCAGAAAAAACATAAACACGATAATAATAAATATAGAGCAGTAGGAATAACGTTACTTCGGTATGGACTGGGGGGAGCGACTGAGTGATACTTTTAGCCAGGGGTCTCAAACTCGCGGCCCGCGGGCCAATTGCGGCCCGCAGGACGATAGTTTGCGGCCCCCGCCTTGGTATGAAAGGTTAATGTTAGTGCGGCTCGTAAGTCACTCATCTCAGTTAGAATGATTGATGCATTTAATATATGATCAGGATAATTAGAGCAAAACAAAATAGTTTATAAATCTATCCCCCGAAAGGAATATGCGGTACGGTAACCTACTAGTACCGTACCTGTAGGCATGATGTTCGATGGACCTTTGACCCCGAAGAAAATTTTCTCATACTTTACCATTGCAAATTCTTGGTGCTTATTTTAGAGATGGCTTCGCGAGTTGAAGCCTATAAACTGGGGTATATGTTTCACGTCATCATTTTGATTCAAAACATTCAACAACCTGTTTTTAACAGTACCGGTAGAGAAGTTTAGCCTAGTTTATCACAGCTATTTCTAGACTAATTTTTGATTACGGCAATTAAGCTACGACGCCCAAGCAATCAGAATGATCGCTGAGTTCTTTGATTCATACTTGATTTTCTGAAACACAACCCAAAACTAACAAATAGCATGCAAAAACGAGGTAATATTTACAAACATGCCTGAAAATCTTTCTGAGTGACAAGTGTCTGAGCGTTTGCGAAAAAGTCTATTGTTACGTTACTTTTTGCGTCTTGCTGATTAGCAAATGTTACGAAATAAACAAGGAAGTAGATGCTCGGGGAAAGGTCCATCGCGGAATTACTTACATTTATGTTTTTGACATGTTTTGCGTATAGAAAAACAGAGAAAAATATTTAATTTTTCAAGTTTAATGCTTTATTGTGAAAAACCTGATGCGGCCCGAACTCACTAAGGCTCCGTCTCGGCGGCCCCCAGGTAAATTGAGTTTGAGACCCCTGCTTTTAGCATTTCAAAGGAAAATCAGGCAGAGATGCAAAATAAGATATGATCTTTTGCGTTTATTCTTTAGGCTCACATGTTTACAAACAAAGGCATAAAGTACACATTAACGACCACAAAATTGAATTTTATTTAAAAGCAGCAGTTTTTTCGGGGTAAGTCCCTAATATTATGGCGCCGCACGAACAAAGTGTTTGTGAACCGATGCCGTAATTCATCACGCATTATTCGCACCTGAATATAATGTGTAAAATATACCTCAAATTCACCCATTTGAATTATTGTTCCGGAGTATGAAGATTGATAAAATAAAAACAGATCTCTGACGTATGCAAACCAACGAACGGTCTAGGGCACAGGTTCTCAAAGTGCTCCGTACGGAGCCCCCGGGCTCCGTGAGAGAAACCCAGTGGCTCCGCGAGCTATTCGATTACTTTTCAAAATACCGACTTGGCTAATTTAAAACTGTTCCTAGAAGCAATAACAGCTTTGATAAAATTTGACACCAATATAGCCTCGAAATATGGCAAAGTGGCGGAACTAAAAAATGACATTATTTATAAGCAGGAGCGCAGCCAGGATTCTTAAGAGGGAGGAGGTTCACATTTGGAATCGGAAATTTACGCGCAACATTCTTGGCGATTCAAAAAAAAACGGATAACGAGATTTCTGTTGCGTAAAATATTTAATTCATGACCGATGCGAGCATTTAAAGTGTCTTGTCGTAATAATTTAATTGTGCTCATCGTTACTCACGTTCGATTCGAGATTACTATTAGGATTACTAAAATGAAACTAAAATGAAAGAATACTATTCTAAAATAACTTGAAACTGCGTGATAAACTGCCAGCTATAAATAAATTGGAGTCGTATTTTTGCGATCTTGGAATTTGTTAAACTTGATTTTTTTCTTTCGCACTCGAGATTATTTTTAAGCAAGATATCGCCGTTTGAAAAATCACAAGGTCTTGGCAAAATACGAACGATTGAAATTTATTTTAGTGCATGCGGCTCCGTCGGTAGTTTCAGAGTAGAAAAATGGTACATCGCCCGCATAATTAATTGACTGTGTTTCAATTTTGCAATTACCGCGATAAATAACCGAAGAAAACACCAAATTTTGTGATTCACAATGTCTATAAAAGCGTTTTTATTCTGACGTGAGTCTGCTGAAACAAAACTTATAATGTTATCTTTCATTTTAAGTATTAGTTCTAATATTTTAGAATGCCGCTTTTTAATCAAGAAATTTGAATTGCGGTTTTACGTCTTTATTAACTATTATTTTTAGCATTTCGTCGCCGATGATGTTTTTCACATTGAACTCATAATTCCCCACGAGAACAAAAAAGCAATTATCGTCGTCATTGTGGAACAATACATGTACCGGTATATATATGCCGAAGAAATTTTTTATTTATGGAGAATAAACACCGTCGTAAAGATGTTTGAGGTTTAAAAACACGCCATGCTGACGAAAAAAATCGGTGATAGTAACAAAATGCAATCGTGCACGTTATTAGCGGCCTTTTAAGTCTTCCAAAAATGTCAAGAGGGGAAAAAATTCGACCCCTAATTTATTGATATGTTTGTCATGTGTCAAATTTACAGCTTTAGTATATACAATTTATCTTTAAAATTTAGATTTATTCATGACTTGTAATAACCCTATTAAAAAGGTTTAGTATTTAAATTGAGTAAATTACTTTTAACTTGCTCAGGAATATTAATCGGAAAGTAACAATTTTAACATTTCTTTTGGGGCTCCGTGAATAATAGTCAACCTTTTCAAGGGCTCCGCAACACAAAAAGTTTGAGAACCCCTGGTCTAGGGCACTGATTCTCAACCAGTGGGCCATGGGCCATAGCAACACTTTGAAGTGGGCCGCCAACCCGTTGAAAATTGCAAGAAGTATTAATAAATTCATTTTTATTTGTTTCACTATAGGTAAATTTTGATTGTAGTTGGCAATGAATGATAATACTGTTTTTGCTACTGAAGGTTTTTTTCATATATATTAATCATTAAAGTGAACGTGTCTATTTTTGCGGGAATGCTTTCCCTCTCATGAAAAAGTTAATGGGCCACATAATTTTTGTGCAACGAAAATGGGCCACGAAGGAAAAAAAGTTGAGAACCCTTGGTCTAAGGAATCAGCACAGCAGCTTCGGGCCTGATTTAAATAAGGTATTGGACACGTTCAGTAGGCTACATCAGTCCCATTATTTATTGTGCCACTTGGTACACTAGCTTCTTGTTGTGCATTAACTGTTACGCTGATTTTTTTGTGAATAAACTGTTTTTATTCGTAGTTTTATATTGATCCTCCGGATAATAAGCAAGTCTATATTCTGGAATCTGCCCACATAGAAAAGTAATTGCCACCCCTGCCCTATAGTGTAAACCAATAAAATCCATGATGTTTATTTATGTGAATTTAAAAAAAAATCCTTTTATCTACCTAGATGTTAAAATTTAGATGAGAATCTCCACAATTTTGCGTCCGTTGATTAATAAATAGCAAACATGGTGAGTCACGAATTTAAATTTTCAATCGAAATTTTTTATTAAAGCTTGCATTCTTTGTCAGAATAGCTTTGTGGCGATTACGCCTGCCTTATCGTTCCCCTGTATTCACGTGAACAGAAGTTGGATTAGTGGTCGGGACAGCCGTTGACGATTCTTTGTTACAATTGAAATCATCTGCTTGGATTATATTTCCACTTCCGTTGCAAATTGACCAGTAACACCAGTTCCCACTCTGCCCCGATGAAATGGTTGCACCTGATATAAATTTGAAAACGGTTCGTTAAAATTTCATATAACAATATCGTCACTGTCACACCAGTGGATTAGCATATTATCTTCAATATTTCAATTCTCTGCGGCTACCGCGACCATTAGACGGAATGCAATCATACACGCGTCAATCCTATGTGTGATAGATTGTGTTAATTCTAACTTACCGGGCGAGTAAAACTTTCCTTCATATTCGCATCCAAGTGACATTATGGGGGTTGGGAAAGTGGTCGTCGGTACTGTAATTTCCCCATTGCAATTGAAATCATCAGATTCTATCACAGTGCCATCAGCATCCCCGCATATGGTCGAGTAACACCAGTTTCCAACTTGACCAGAAGAAATCGTTGCGCCTGGACATTACAGAAACACAAAATTAGGTGTTTCGGGCAAATTTCCGTACGGTTAAAAATTTAGTTTACACCTACAGCAAATCATTACCTGGAAGATAATGCTTTCCGTTTTCGTAGCAGCCAGGTATTGCAGTGCTCGGTAGCATTGTCGTTTCTAAAATGTTGATAATTTTCATGTGACTCAAAATTAGCCTATTATGTGAATTTGGAATCAAACGCAAGTTTTTAAAACATATTATTCATTCTCGTTTATGTCAAACATTGATTTCACATTCTAAGCCTTCATATTAAAAATCTGCGGGTCTGGTTCAGATCTACAGGCATCCAAATACTACAATGAAGCTTTAGCCGTTAGGTTATACTATCCACTTTAATCGGAACTAACAATTCTCGTTGTGGTGTCTATGGGGACGTTTTTATCTGTTTATTTACATTTCTGAAATCTTTCATTATTGAAATACTGCTCCCACTCTTGGCAATACAATAAATGAAGATAGGTTTGCTTATAGTCTACATTGTTTTGTTTTTTTCTCCATTACGGAAGAAGGTGAAAACAGGACCTATTTTACTCACGGAACCTACCTTTTACACATGTCATGCCATCGCCTAAGAAACCAGATTTGCAGGCACATTCGTATGATCCTGGAATATTTTTGCACTTTGCGTATTTATTACACGGTCTCCTCCGACATTCGTTTTTATCTAAAGTATTCATTATTGTTATATATATATATAGTTAGTGGTCACTGGTCAGTCAGTCAATAAATCTGTTGATCGTGTTAAAGCAAAAGTACCTTTGCATTTAGGCATAAATCCTTTCAGCCTGGCTTTAGTTTTTCCGGCCATGCATATACTCTTGTGTCGCCCTCTTATACGAAATCCTTCGTTGCAAAAATATTCAAAATACTCGCCAATCTCAATGAAAGTTCTGTTCTCCGGACGAATGAAGCCGTTTACGAGAGATTCAGTGATGTGACAATTTTTTTCTGAAAATGTTAGTCAATGCTCTATTGAAAATTAGCCTAGGGATGAATCGAGACTTCACCTCAATAAAGCTCTGTATCTAGTTTAAAATCTAAAATATAGGTAATATATCACTTGAATACATTATAACGTCTCGCGATAAAAAAAAAACGATGGCATATCTATTACCGGGCTCGTCCCATTCCTTGAAATTATGACCGCAGTCTTGCAATTAGGTTTAGAAACGAGACTCTTTGCCTAACTATAATATGATAATACTTTTTACTCTTGTTATATATGGTACGTGCGGTTAGCTGACTGTAAAAACTATATAGACACTCAACAACAACGAAATATTGAATACCATACCGCTATACTGTTATGCAAAAGTTTGCAGTAATAATACTAACTTAATCCGATTATTCCATTGTGATGTGATATTATGCAGTAAAGTACAGAATTCCCGAATTTATCACTATCGAGAACTATGCAGTTTTTTTTTTGTTTCATAGCAAACCAATCATAGCAAAAAAAATATCCGAGAGAAATAAGCAAAATTTAATACTTACGATCGTTAAGGATTTCCGCACTTCCAACGAATAATAAAACTGAAACAACAACAATTACTGCACCAATCATATTTGTTAATATTATGCTAAAGTAGCTGGTGAAAATAGAATTTTTAAAGATATGGAAAATGATTACAGGTTTAATATAGTTCTGCATTTCATATTTCTAATCTCTCGAGTAAAATCCAAATAATTGTTTTACACTAAAACCAACGTGCTCAATATTTTCTTACGCCCGTGGGCGATTGCGACCTGTTGTTGTTTTTCATCTTGTTTTTACATAATGCAAACAAGTATTAAATCAACATAGTATACCTTATTTTATTATTGCCTCATAAGAAGCTGAGAAAAAGTTGCATCAACGCTAGTAGGATAGCCTATCACGCTTTCTACTCTGGAATAATCAGCCTATGCTTGCGAACCGAAATGTTGTTGTTTTCTTACCCTGCGAATGGTTCAAACACGCTGCTTATAAAATACCACAATTCGTCCACTATTCCTAATATATGTGCCCATCGCTTCCAAGTAGAGTCTTCGCATGTAATTCTCCCAAATACATACGAAAATTAGATTCTTCCATGCAAAAATTCACTTCTTGTGGAACATGACGGAAAGGATCAAGCATTGAAGCAGCCAGCCCTAAATGACCATTGCAAGTTCTCGCAAATGACGTACAGGAAATCCATAATTTTATTGAATAAATCAAACGACAAAAAAGGAATAATATTCATATACTTTGTGAATCTCAAGCTAAATGTTATTTAATATTAGGTCAATTACAATAAAAACGAGCGACAAATGCTATTGAATGGCCTTTCTGTGGCAAAGAGCACTATCACACAATATAATAATTATGGATTAATCATATAATATTTTGCCCCTAAAGGCAATAATAATTGTTATTCAAAGACGAGTACGGACCACGACTGGTTCGATTATGGATGGTCACTCATTTACATGATATTACAACAAATATCAATGGAAGAGCAATAACAATCTGAGTGCAACATTTCTCCACATTGAAAATTGGTAAACAAGAATTTCCTACACAATTATGAAAATAGTCTTTCTTATATCACGGAATGTAAACATTTTGAATAAGAATAATTTAACCGCAGTATATTCCGATCGGCGAAACTTCAAGGGTTCAAAAATTGATGAATATTTTTTCATAATTTCGGGTAATCACGTTTCTATGTCTAATTTGACGAGTATTTTAATTAGCTATCAAAAGATCACGATGCCATCAATCATCGAGTGAAAGTAGGGCATTATAACTAAAATTTTAATTTTTCGATGTGAATTTTATAGGAGACCATTACGTATAGTAATTTATAGTAGTCCGGAGTCTTGTTCGAAGATATGATGTGACCATTATCCCGTGAAAAATCAAAACTCATATTTTATATTTTTATTTCTCCGCGAACTAAAAATTTTAACATGCTAATAGATGAGAAGCATTTTTAGATTTTCTATTTTAAAGCATAGTAACGTCAGGGCTAAGCATGATATGGAAGCAACACTTATAGGCTGCGTGACTATGCAAGCGAGACAGTCGTAATGGAATTGTCTGCTGTGGAAAAATGAAGCAATGTCTTTTACATAATGCAAACAGGTATCTGTTTTATGTTTTAAAGATTATCGTTGTTAGTTGATAATCATACTTTAATTTATTATGGCTTTATCAAAAGCTGGGAAAAGGTTGGATTAACGCTAGTCGGATAACCATAGCCACGAATGTTTCCCCGTCCTTTGACCCCAGGAAAATTCTTTCTATACCTTATCATTGCAGAATTTTGGTGCTCATTGGACACGTTTAGTGGACATAACGATCGTTTAAATATTTTGTTGTTGTTCTTGTTGTTATTTTTCATCTGAAATTCCCAAGAAGACTTATTGTCATTGAGTTATTTGATATTTGATTCTTACCTAAATTTGCGAAACACAATTAAAAAATATAAGGTAGCACGCAAAACGCGTAAACGCGGTAATGTAATTTACAACTGACTGCTGAAACTTGCACTATTATACGTCATTTTTAGCATTTTGCTGATTGGACAATGCTACAGAAGTAAACATGGAAGTTGATGCTCGGAGAAACATCCATCACGTTCTCTACTCTAAAATATTGTCAGTACCCCACGCTTGCGAACCGACAATGCATTGTTAACTCGAGTTTGTTTTGGTATGACGATCACGTTGTCTCGTTTGCACCAGATTTAATTCATTCCTTGCGTTTTGTTGTTTCCTTACCCTGCTAATGGCGATCGACGAATGGTTCACACACCATTCATCTACTTTTCGTACCATGTGCTCATCGCTCCAACAAGAGTCTTGACAAATGATTCTTCCAAATACTTTGGCAACAATTCGCTACCAGTGGAAAATGACGGAAATGTTTAAGCGTTGAAGTAGCCAGCCCCAAATGACCATTGCAAGTTCTCGCAAATAACGTACAGAAAATCCATATTTTTATTGAATAAATCAAACGACAAATAAGAAATAATATTCATATACTTAGTGAATCTCAAGCCATGTGTTATTTACTATTAGGTCAATTATATAAAACGAGCGACGTACATTGCAGGTTAAATGCTTTTGAATGTTCCTAAATATAATCACATTATAACGTTTGCCTTTGTGAGGCAAAGAGCACTATCACACAATATAATAATTATATAGTACCCATATACTATTTTGTCGCTAAAGGCAATAATAATTGATATTCATAGACGGAACACAACTGTTCGATTGTGAATGGTCACTCATTTGCACAATATGATAACAAATATCAATAGAGGAGCAATAACAATTTGAGGGTAACATTTCTCTACATTGAAAATTGGTAAACAAGAATTTTCTGTACGAATATGAGAATACTCTTTTATATCACGGAAGGTAAACATTTTGAATAAGAATAACTGAACAGCAGTTTATTCCGATTGCCAAACTTCAAGGGTTTAGAAGTTCATTACGTATATCAGTAGCTGCTTGCCCGGAGTCTTGTTCGAAGATAAGATGTGACCATTATCTCATGAAAAATCAAAACTCATATTTATTGTTTATTTTCCGGCGAATTAAATAATTATGACATACTAATAGGTGAGAGAAGCATCTTTAGGTGTTCTACGTTAAAGCATAGTAACGTCAACCCTGAGCATGTTATGAAAGCAACACTTATAGGCTGTGTGACTCGTGTGACTATCAAAGCGAGACAGTCGTAATAGAATCGTCTGTTTTGGAAAGATGAAGCGATAGATACCTATGCCTGTGGTTGGTGAAGACACTGACGCATGAAATTTTGCAAAAATGTAAGTATATGCTCATATTATATTATTCACCACAAAAATATAGTTGAGGCCAATATAAGATAAAAACTAGTTACACATACAACGCCATTGATACCTATTTGGTTCAAGAAAAAATTATTAATAAGAAACAGCTATAATTATAGACATTCAGAATAAAGTTAAAAAATATAAAATACTAATATAAAAATAATATTTCCAAGCTATGAGTAGATTAATCTATAACTTCTTCGTTATTACAGTTGGTATCGATACAACATTTGTAGCCTCCTTGTATATTTGTGCATCGTTTTTGCCTCGAACATCTGTGTTCCCCTGTATCGCACTCATTTATATCTAAACAAAAATATTTTACAAAATTTCAAAAAATAAGAACTAGCTTTTGCACTATACGCGGATTGAAGAATAACTAATTGCATTTCATGACAGCAATAATACATCACATGATTGGAAGAAGTTGTTTTGAAACATGAAACCACCGAAGGAGAAAAGTATATATCATACAACAAGACGACGGTATACAAACAAAATATATGCAAACTTTGCATAATCGAACACACGTGCTAAAATAACTTTACCTATATAAAAAACAAGCTCACCAAAATTACTTCCTCCAATCTAACTAGAATAAGTCAATTACCCAACAATGCATTCGGTAAAAATTATGTTCTTTCACAGTCACACCCAGTAGCCTATATAGTTAAATACCAGTCTTCGACTTGTTGAAGGATGAAACGAACCTGTGCAATTACTCCCGTCGTATTCATAGCCAGTTCCACAACTACATTCATAACCACCTGTTATCGTTGTACATGTCGTTACTGATGGGCAAGAATGCTGTCCATATGCGCAATCGTAGTCTGTAAAATATATGAAATAAATAATCAAATACATCCAGAGCCTTGATCGGCTTTTAATGCCATATTTTACATGAATTAACAAAATAACATTAGCAATATATTTCCAATCGTATCAACTTACTTGAAAATACTTTCATAATAATAATTAAAATGGTGTCGTTAGGTTACCTTTTAACGAGTACTGGCTACAGAGTGGATCACGTGCTATCTGGCAATATTTTCCGGCAATGAATTGAAATATTCCGCACATTCAGAATCCGTTCTTTCGCCACAATTTGTTATATCAATAAAATATCTTTGTGTTTCTAGAAACAAACCAATATAACTCGAGAATGAACGATGCCAACAACAATTTTATACATACAGTGCATTCAATTAGCTTTAAATTAGAACATCCGCGTTGCCCACAAATATACACTGCAGCTCAATTAATGGGAGATAGACGGGGCAAAATATGCAGTGGTCAGCCGGTTTTAAACGACTCAATCTAGTTAGTGTAACGTGTAACTCATGAAAGAATCGTTGTTATTTTTTCTGATTACCATTTGATTCTTACTTACCTTCTAATTTTAGTAAGAAAAACATATTTTCGCAATTTGTAATAAATACTGCATGTGAAAATTCACAAGAACTTACATTTCCATTACCGTATCCTCACGCTGTCATCTCGCTTACTGTTTTTAATCGTTCATGTCTATATATTGAGTTGAAACGCTTAAATCAACTACAAATATACTTAGATTTTATACACACGTGTGTGTGTACTCCATTGCTCAAATCACAACTAAAATTTGAATATCTTACCTGTATGGCTTTCATCAATAAGCGAAAAATATAACCACCATAGTACGGTAACTCGAGAAAATTGCAGTTCCATTTATTTTTTCTAAGTTTTCTTTTAATATCTGGCAACAGAAGTAAGGGTTAATTTTGTTATTCGATATCGCATTTGAAATATCATCGTGTTATAGATACTACAAAATTATACGGAAGGGAATGGATAAGTCAAAATGAAAATCAAGCGGTAAAGATAGTATTTCCAATTTTGTTGACTACGCTCAAGAGCCACATAAGTTCAGCCTTGAGAACCTGGAACCAGTAACGACCTCCGACGTGATAATAAACTAGAGCTCAGCAGCTGTAGTTACACCTCATATCCGACTAGGACAATGTCATAATCCTGGGTTATGTAACATAAATATAAATAGCAACAATAGAAAAAATCCTGCTTCTTTACAAATACAATCCATAATAATACGCTCGTCTATTGAATTCACCGTCTTTCATTCTCAGGCGCCTTGACAAATACAATTTTTGAGACGCCGTAGACATCAAAACAACAATTCATTAAAAATGCAGTACGTTTATCCTCGCGTAACATTTGACCGCAAATGCCCTTTTCAAGCCAAAAAAAATTATGAGATTTATTCACCTTTATCTACTATTGAAAAAACTTTGCAATGTATCTAGCATAAGTATATATATATAGAGCTGCGGAATAGGCATCGTCAGATTTACCCCGCAAAATATGATACTTTCTATTTACGAAATCAATCGTTGTACGGTAGTTGGCTAGCGAAACGATTCGACTCAAAGCCAAATATTTTATGGAATTCAAATAAATCCAGAAAATGTCGTTACACAGCTTCAAACTTATCCCCGTCAGGAAGGCTATACCTGAAAAGGCTTATTACAATTGAACGTATAACGACTCAATGGTCAAACCAGACCTACTCATTGAACTCACACAACAATTTTTAAAAAAGATCATGACTTCCTAATTCTGAAAATAAAACATTCCGGCGTATGTTTTGCGTATAACAAAACGCACGTCTACTCTGATCTCTAAAATAACTTCTTTTACCATGCTAATCAATTCATTTTGCTTTGAGTTTCAACTATACTATCGTTTAGCTCTCGACCATGAAAAACTTATCACGAGCTTTAATTCCTTTCAATTTACAAATTTTCCGCATGGTTTGGCAATTTTGTTCAACGTATTTGAAAATTCATATAAATATTATATATCTACGCATCGATGTTACTAAATTGGCAAATATGACAAAATGAAAAACACATTTGCTCCGATGATGTTTCTTTCAATTATTTCCAACAAATCACAAATTCTAAATTTAAGTGACTCATGAACTCTTAAAGTCTGAATTGAAAAATTGCTCAACATAACCCAAAGGTTCTAACTATACACAATACAGCGATTTATGCGGATTATTCGGCCACCTAGAATTGTCCAGAGATACAGATTAGGTATATTTTTAGATTTTCTCATTCAGAACCAAAAGTTGCTTTTACATCGCGACCGTAACAAAACAAATAATTTGTTGCGTGTGTGGTTAGGTTTATCCTTCGCCGGATAACATCTTGCTTTCACGCGTAACAAAAACGAACAAAAAAAAATTTCGTGAGTTTATTTATTGTTGCTTACTGATAAGATATCTGCAAAGCTCTTGGAAACTTTAACAACGACCACCAGACATTATGTGACCTGAATTTTTAAATGATTTTAATATAAGCCCTTCCCACAAAAAAAACCTAGTCAATCAAGAAATCTTTCCTACGCGTTTTTAATGATTGTTAATCTATGTTTAACAGTTATTTTGAATAAAACGTGTTATTAATAAGTAACTGAATACCAGTTTTCATATTTTGTACATTTGAAAATCTCGAATCTCTTTCAAGGTCCGCTTCATGATTGTGATTGGTCTGGGTCTAAGCCTTAGAGTTAGACCTAGACCAATCACGATTTTACAGTTAGCAAGTAAGTTCTACAAAAGGTAGCAAGAATCTATACGCGGAAATTCTGCCCCCAAGTTTGCTGTTTTGACTGAAAAATGAACCAGAGGTATATCAAATGACCTTTGCAAGATATCTACAGGTCTGTTCCGATAGGTTTGTGTAGACCTATTTAAAGATAGCTATAGGTCCGTCTCCGTAGGTTTACGCTCTGTTTCAGTTATTTAGTGTTCGTTCAGATAGATACTCAATCAAAGACATTTATTTTTGCCACTTACTTGCTGTTATGTATTTTATCGGCAAAAGAAATTTTAGTGTGAAAGTCATTTTGATCGCGTTACTCTGCGAAAAAATTAAGAAAAATTAAGAATAATTTTTTCCAGTAGCAGAAAAATCGTTGGCAATTTGTGTATTTATTCACATTTTTACAATTTCGATAATTTTTTTGACCCTAGGTACCTATGTGTTTTTTCACTCCAAATTTTTGTTTGCATTTATCGACCGGCCTCGCCCCCACTCTGAGAGACGCTATAAAAACACTTACCAGCAGTAGTTTTCTGCAGCATTTGTGTTCAGACCAATTTTATTTTCGTGTATACATTTATTGTTTTGCTCAGCAATTAGTACATTTATATTGGCTCATGGGTGGATTGCAATATCATAACGGTGTTGTCAAATATTACCCTGAACGTTGAATTAGCTTTTCTGTTTATCTGCGCTGCACTCTGACTGTCAGAATACGACTAAATTTCCACTTTAGATTTTAGATACCTATCGGATGTTCATATAAATTCCGACAGTCAAAATGCTGAAATGATCTGATTTTCAGTCTCAAAATCTTAGCTACATAAATATTGTTCTGGAAATTACGTGTTTTATCGAGACCAGCGTCATCATATTCGTAATTGTAAGTCTCGATTGCCTTTTTATCTCAAAGTGCCTCTTTATTTAAAAGTGTGACATTAGAATACGTGCTAATTCAACGCAGTTTTCTGCAAAAATTCTACCTCTCGGCATATTTGCAATTGCTCTGCTAGATCGCTGAAAATACAAATAGAGAATCTGAATTAATCTAATACACTTCTCTATTATTCTAACCACGTACTTATGCCTAATATACCTCGATTTCATTTGGTTATAAATCTGAATCTTTTCACTTGTGCATACTTTATATCACGCCCCCTTGTCTGCTGTTTACAACAAAATTATCGGAAGCCAAATTTTTCCCTGCTCCGCAAATTCTCATATACTGCATCTTTTTGTTGAAGCCTAAGTGACTATTATAGTCACTTTGGTTGAAGCGAGCGATTGCTGGTTACAGCAGATCGTCTCGAGATATTTTATGTATTTTTTCCTCAATTTATTTAAACTTAGTTCGTTTTTTTGTTTTTTTTTTTTTATATTATAGTGTTAGACTTATTTTATAGGTGCCGCTGCTCGATAACCAGTATTGGTTTCTCGCGTCTCCTTCACCCTGAAATATGGCCAATTTATAATTTAATTTATTGCAATTTGTATGTTTGTGCCTATTTTAAGTATGGTGAGAAATAAACTACTGATTACTGATTACTGATAAACCTGATTGCACCTTATATGACATATGAAACTCATTAACTACGTTATCTGCTCAATAAACCAACGTAATTGGCTAAACTGAGCAGACGAATCTGAGTGAATTTATCAACCGAAATCTACTCCTGAAGGAAGATGTTGCACCTATGCAACACTAAATTTTAACCACCCCCTCATGAAAACACATAAACCTTTTGAGGCTCCAATCAGTTTGTACAGCTTCTGTATACACTATTCTTTTGTCCCGTGCACATATATGACGAATTCGATGTATATTATGTGGCATATGTGCTTTAAATGTGACATTGGTTCACCAGTCTGACCAACGACTAACATACCGGTCTGACACGAGCACCGGAGAAGGTAACTTGTAAAAGCAAAGCCCACATATTGGTAAAAGTCGCTTGCAGCGTCATCCTGCGGCGCCAATGAAAAATAGCAGGTGCATCGGACCAGAGTGACTACAGTCACTTTGCATCGGACCAACTAGTACGGTACCGGGATAAATGGGTAGTTATAAAATGGCTATGTCCCATATGTCCGCTATGTCCCTACCAAAATGGCTATGTCCGCTATGTCCCTACTAAAATGGCTATGTCCCATCCAAAATTGCGTCTCCGATATTTTCCTACTAAAATGACTATGTCTGCTATGTCCCTACTAAAATGACTATGTCCGCTATGTCCCTACTGAAATGGCTATGTCCGCTATATCCCTACTAAAATGGCTATGTTCGCTATGTCCCTACTAAAATGGCTATGTCCGCTATGTTTCTACTAAAATGGGTATGTCCGCTATGTCCCTACTAAAATGGCTATGTCCCATCTAAAATTGCGACTCCGATATTTTCCTACTAAAATGACTATGTCCGCTATGTCCCTACAAAATACTGTCCGCTATGTCCCTACTAAAATGGCTATGTCCCATCTAAAATTGCGACTTCGATATTTTCCTACTGAAATGACTATGTCCGCTATGTCCCTACTAAAATGGCTATGTCCCATCTAAAATTGCGACTTCGATATTTTCCTACTGAAATGACTATGTCCGCTATGTCCCTACTAAAATGGCTATGTCCGCTATGTCCCTACTAAAATGGCTATGTCCCATCTAAAATTGCGACTCCGATATTTTCCTACTAAAATTACTATGTCCGCTATGTCCCTACTAAAATGGCTATGTCCGCTATGTCCCTATACTAAAATGGCTATGTCCCATCTAAAATTGCGACTTCAATATTTTCCTACTGAAATGACTATGTCCGGTATGTCCCTACTAAAATGGCTATGTCCGCTATGTCCCTACTAAAATGGCTATGTCCCATCTAAAATTGCGACTCCGATATTTTCCTACTAAAATGACTTTGTCCGCTATGTCCCTACTAAAATGACTATGTCCGCTATGTCCCTACTAAAATGGCTATGTCCCATCTAAAATTGCGACTCCGATATTTTCCTACTAAAATGACTATGTCCGCTATGTCCCTACTAAAATGACTATGTCCGCTATGTCCCTATACTAAAATGGCTATGTCCCATCTAAAATTGCGACTCCGATATTTTCCTACTGAAATGACTATGTCCGCTATGTCCCTACTAAAATGACTATGTCCGCTATGTCCTACTAAAATGGCTATGTCCCATCTAAAATTGCGACTCCGATATTTTCCTACTAAAATGACTATGTCCGCTATATCCCTACTAAAATGACTATGTCCGCTATGTCCCTACTAAAATGGCTATGTCCCATCTAAAATTGCGACTCCGAT